AGAGGTCCTCTCCGTACCTTTTTTTCTGACATTAGCCTACCCTTTCCCCGACACTGCGGTCCTAGGAGGTAACTTTACATCTTCCTCCACCACTATGGTTATCTCTTCCTCTGGTGGGCATCCCAATGGCGTTCTCTCGCCGTTCACCACCAACACAGTAGGATTAAACTCAATCTGGGCCCTCTGGCTCCGGAGCCAATCTTCTCCCAAGATTGCCTCTGTACATAGGTCGGGGGTTACATAAAAATTTTGGGTGCTTTTCACCCTCCCACCTCACCGGGAGCCTCACCATCCCTTTTATCTCCAGGGGGGCCCCATCTGCTTGCGTGATCTCTATGTCCGCTTCCCGTAACCTTCTCTTCCGTTTCACCCGCCTGTATGTTTCCTCTCTCATCAATGACACAGATGCTCCTGTGTCCACCAAAGCCCTCATCTCTCTACCACCTATCTCTGCTTTACAGGATAGTTCTCTCTCTTGCGTTAGCGAAGAGAACACCTGAGCTTTCTTCTTCCTGGGTCCCCACCTTTGGGTTAACCCAGCCATAGGCGCCGGTAATAATAATTCATCTTCATTTTTTTTTATGAGGTGGAGTTCTGCGCCCCCCTGCACCTGGGCGACCCCGGCCGGACCTCTCCCGGTCTCCCATGGCCGTTTCTAAGAATACAGTTTCTTTTCAGGTGTCCTGGCCTCCTGCAAAACCAGCACCTTCTTGTCGGACAGCTTGCCGCAAAGTGGCCCATCCGACCACATGTCCAACATTTTGCTCTTCCCTTTTTTAACTGGGTTGGCCTTGTGTCTATCCTCAGGGAACCTGTCCTCTATTCAAGCGGTTCGCCCACCCACTGGTCCAAGCTTTTATTTCTCTCCTTTTTTTAACTGGGCCACCCTCCCTCTTAATTCTGGGGTGGCCCGCTGGCTTTTCCCTGGTCCGGTCTCTTGGGCTCAGCCTTCTTTGTTAATATTGGTGGGGCACCCTTCCTCAGCCCGCACCACTTGGCCAGGTGTCCTTTCTTACCACACCTGGTGCATCTGTCCTGATTGAAGTCTGGGGGCAATCCCCACTTCGTCGGACATTCCGCCGCCCTGTGGTCCTCGTACCCACAGGTCCAGCAGACCAGCCCATATCGACCCGGCGTGGGCTTATAAAAGCCATGCCTGGTCGACCATGCCCTTCTATTGGGGTCCTCCTCCCATATTTCTGCCCGATCCACCTCTTCCTTAACCCTCTGATTCCATACGGGGTTCTTCCGCCTACCCCCCTTCTTCCAGCCTCCTGACTTGGTGTCTGCTTCTTCCCACACCTCTTCACCTTATCCCATACCCCCTGGCTCTCTCTGGCCAGCTCTATCGCTGCCGACAGTCTGAGCGGTCCCTCTTTCAGGACGTCGTGCCGAACACGCTCATCACTCAGAGCTTCCACATACAGGTCCGCCAGTTGGGCCTGCATGACTGCGTTGTCCCTGACCACCTCGGGGAATGCTAATGACGATAGCCTTCCCGCTCGGGCCCCCAATTCTCCCGGGGTCTCCTCCCGAAGCTGTGTTAGTTTTAAAAGGGCCCTCATGGCCTCTATGGCCGTACCCTCGTCGGCGAACTCTTTGGTCAGCAGTTTTTTTTACTTCTTCCCAGGCCAAGCGGGGATGATTTTCCAAGAGTCCCCTTACGAACTCCGACGCTTTTCCCTTTGTGGCATCGTATGCCAGGTACAGGGTTTCCTGGTCCGAGAGCTCGTAGATGGTTCGGCTCTTTTCGAGGATTGTCAGCCAGTTCCTGAACTCCTTCCCACTACCATCAAACACTGGGACCCTCGGTCCACCCAACAGCCCCCTTAAATCTACTGACAACCCCGCCCTACTTCTTCTTCACCCCCCACTGCTCTATCCGACTCATAATCTGACATGTCTACAGAGAGCAACAATCGAGGTAGGGAAATAAACAAGGTGTCCTACCTTACAGACGACTCTGTTCCTTCTTTTCCTTTGGTCCCGGGTCGTTCTGATTTCTGCTTGAACCTTCAGCAACGGCGGTCGATCGTGGTCTTCTCAGGGTTGAAATCCCTCGGTCACCACGGCACCATATGTGACGTGGTTGTCTCAGGGTTGATCCGTTGGTCACGGCACCACTTGTGACGGTTACACACCTGGCCCAGTGTCGGATCCTTTGGTTACGGCGCCAACGGTGACGTCGCTCCTCCTGGTCGCTCCTCCTGGGTCCAAGCGTGCCGCTCCAACCCTTTGGTCAGATGATCACCAGCCTCGCCTTTCCCGACTCGCTTCCAATACCTGGTCACTAAAGCAACTATACCGATCTCCGGTCTGTCTACCCACGCTGTGTTTAGATCTTAGACAGACGGGACCAGCAGGGATCGGGGCCGATACAAGTTGAGTCCGACGGGGGTGGCAAAACACAAATAAAATAAAAACTCACGACACCAAACAAAATTGCTGATAAAAAGGGTAACAACCTTTTATATCTTAAAGTCCGTTACATAAAAACAAAATTGTTCTCAATTCCCGACCCGCTCTGTGGACTATGGCACCAAGCTTCTATCACACAATAGGAAAATGTCGAATTACCTACTTTCTAGAATCATGTATGTATGTCGGAGTGTGGTTCAGTTCGACACTGGGGCTAATTTCTATCGATCATTCGCAGTTGATTCTTCTCTCCGACTTGAGTTGTATTTCTTCTTCTTCTTCTACTTGGGCTGGAAGTTCTTCTTGTCTGAGGGTTCTTTTCTCGCTGCCGTCCGTCCGGGGATGAACTTTAACTTCTCATCGACTTTCGGCTTGTCTGCAGCTCCAATTCTTCTCAGGCTTTCAGGCAATCTTCTTCTTCATCTACTTGGGCTGGAAGTTCTTCTTCTTCGTCTGGAAGGTTCTTTTCTCGCTCCGTCCGGGGATGAACTTTTCTCACTTCTCATCGACTTTTCTTGTCTGCAGCTCCAATTCTTCTCAGGCTTTCAGGCAATCTTCTTCTTCATCTTCTTGGGCTGGAAGTTCTTCTTGTCTGAGGGTTCTTTTTCTCATCTCCGCTGTCGTCCGGGACTGAACTTCTCCACTTAGGCCAAACGGACCGGCCTTTCTTGCCCGCAAGGGCTCCGTTCAACCCCGCTCAAACTCCTCTTCATCCGAACTTCAGCTCCAACTCCAACTGATTTCTGCCGACTGGGGTCCTGCTTATATTGACGCCGCAACAAACCGGGGTGGGTCGGTCGGCGTCAGGGGTTTCTCGATAATTTCAAAAGCCGTATTAATTTTGACTTTCCATTATCGTTATTGTTTTCACCCCTACTTTCTCACAGTGCTCTTGGGGGGCGGCGCATATCTATTTCTCTTAGTCTCTCTCATGTCAGGTGATCGCTCTCAACCAATCGTTCCCGATCGAACCTTTCTTTCTCTTCTTTTCCGCAGCCCACGTGACCGCCTCGTCCAACAGTTATTGATCGAGGTTTTCTTTCCTTCTTCTTCCGCGGTCACGTGATTGTATTCGACCAATTGTTATTGACCGAACACCCTCTCCCTTTTGTTGGCGGGTGTGGTTACATCGTGCTGGTTTTAAAAAAACAAAATCCGATTTCGCACCTTTTTGCACGTACGCAAAATGACAATCCTTGCCCTCTCTCACCTGGACTTTGTCAAACAGCCCGCTGCTAATTAGTCTTGACTTTTAGAAAGGATCTTTTCCGCCTTCCTGGCGCCCTCCGTGGTCCAAAAACAATTGCTCTTCTTTTTTTACCTCTTTGTTTTTCCTGATAGCCGAGAATCTTAATTATCTAGGTCGAAATATCTCTACTTTCTTAACGTGGGTGTCCAATTCTTAACAGGTCAATTCCGTATATCGTTTTCACCAGTCACTTCCCCAACCCAAAGACACTTTCTCTCTGACTAAAGTAAAATTCATTTCTATTATTCTAATTTAAAAGTTACCTTTCGTTATTTTGATAAGAATTCTTCTACGAAAATGTCGGTCAGCGCTCGCGACCGATATCTCCAATTCTATTCTTTCAACAAAAATTAAGGTCAGTCAGAGGCTCTGACCGACATCTGGTCCACACCCAGCGGCCTGTTTTGATATCATGTCTTTTCCTTTCTTTCCCCCTTTTGTTATTATCTTTCCTTTCTTCCTTTTTCCTTTCTTTCTTTTTTTTTGCTTGCTTAGGATCGTTTAGTACATTCTTAGTGAATTATTTTCAACCCAGTTATTTTCCGTTTTAAAGAAAAAAAAAATTAACAACCTGTTTAATAAACTGAATAAGAAAAAAATTAACTCATATTTTCGACAATGACAGCATATTTTTTTATAATATTTCATTTCTCTGATTCAGTAAATTTTTTTTTTATAAACTTAGTAATATATAGTTTTTCCATATGCACAAAGGACATGGGTCATTTAATGACCTACATATTCTAAAATTTTCTTATTAACTTCAATTTTACTGTAGGTGTTTTTATTTGATTCTTTAGATGCCAGAAGAATTTTGAGAGAGATGTCTGATTTTATATTTATTTATTCTAAATGAAGTTTGAAGTGTTGGTTGAATCTTTTTGAATCCATGGCTAGTGCAACCTATATATATTTTTATGTTTTCAGGACTTTCAATCGAAGAGATATTGCATTGGTATACTAATGATTCAGTGCAACATTTATTTTGTAGAGGGCAATAATGAGGGTTTTTTACAGTTACATAGTTTTTGTTTATTTCCATCTATTTTATTATTTTTCCATTGTCTAAATTTTTTTGTTTTTGGTATAAGTGTTTATTTAAGATATTAGCATTATGGTTCTTAATTTTTTTTATATATATATATATATATATATATATATATATATATATATAAAGTGTGTGTTTGAATAGATTTTATATATATATATATATATATATATATATATATATATATATAGTGTGTGTGTGTGTGTGTGTTTGTAGCTTACTATTGTATTTTGTAGAGTTCACACAAGCACTAAGATGAGGAAAAAATATAATGTGGTAGCTTACCTACAGAAGGTGACTTTTTCAGTGGCTCACTTTCAAGTGCCAGGATGTAATCATGGTAAATGTCACTTACAATAAAAGTTGGATAATGTTGTTCTTCTAATATAAGATAGACATGGTTTTGAGCTTCATAAAAAGCATCTGGTCCCTTACAAAAAAAAAAAACATGGTTTGTGAATTTAAAAAAATATCAAGACCAATTACAATAAAATTATAACATTTTTGTTTCAATATTCTTATTAATTTTTTATAAACTAATTTTAAATTTAAGGCATTATTATAATTTCCATTTTTTAAAGTTCCTCTACCAGATCTGTAACTTTTGTTGTATTAAATTTTCAAATCAATTCTTGTTGCTGAACACACTGTTTAGCAACAACTTTCCCAGTTAGATTCATTTGCCAGTATTCTTCATTTTGAAGGCCATTTACAAATTTCATTTGGATCAAATCCACTTCAACTGACTACTTTTCCACTCCTAGTTTCTCAAATTCACAATATTTAATGGCCTGCTTCAAATGAAGAACATAGTCAACAACTTTTTGAGAAATGAAATTCACTCTCTCTGCATTCACTAGTTTTTTCTTAGATGCTATATTTCTCACTATCAGTTGACTGGTATAGTCAAACATCATTTTCTCCAACTGTCTTGGGTGTACAAATGATAATAATTTTATAATAGCCTCACAACTAGCAGTTGTCAAGAAGAGATCAGTTATCTGGTTTTCTCCCCAAATTGATTTCAAATCCTTTAGCTTTTTTGTTCTAGCTTTAACTGCTAGAATCCTAAGCCATGCTTGTGCATACTCATAATTATCCAATAATAATTGTTCGCTCAGTTATTTAGATTTGGCGACACCATTATAGTGTAGTGTTACTGACTCACAGAAAATAGTATGCACTCAAATGCCCATGGGTAATAGCTGTTACTATTTATAGTCTTTGTGACTTCTATGTAAATGAGTTACCTCATTAATAAAAAAATTTTTAAAGTATATATAATTTTTGAAATAGACTAAATACAGTTATTAATAGAAATGGAAATTTAGTTGAAATTAAATGTAATAATGGAAAAGAAAGATTCAACATATACTGACTGCATCACCCAGCATAAAGGACTCCATTCCTTTAAGTGTAGAACGTTCTACATGCACAGCACTACTGGTACCATTGATATACTGCTCGAAGATTTCATGGGCTTTTTCATGGTGCTGGCTCTGAAGAAATGTAACAGAGCTCAGAAATATGTAAAAAGTGAAAAAGTGCTTTTACAAAACAAATACAATAGTAATGACCAATTTAGCTCTCATTTAATCTTCAACTTCTTTGAATCAATTTATTTGTAAGAATTAAAAGTTTTAACAAATATTCTTCAAATAATCATTTAGAAATTATTACTCCCCTGTTAAAATTTATCATTTTGATAAAGCTATTATTAATCTTATTACAAGTAACACTAACAACTTGGGTTTACAAAATTAGGTGTATAGCTTTCCTTTACTCCTATAATAGGTAATCTGCGAAATACAGGGGGAGAGTTGGCAGGTTGTTAATCAGAGTTATGTGAAATTTTGGTTTGCTGATACTTTAATAACTGATTTTAGTACGTTACGTGAACACCATTTCTTAAGAAAATTTATTATAAGAAACATACTGGAAACACTGTAAATAGATTTTTGTCAATGAAAGATAGTCAAAAAGAACATTTTCAAGAAATGAGCCTTGACACATCCTGCAGTAAGTGTACATAATAAGAACTAAGAATAAACATTTGGAAGAACAATAGAGAGTATAAAGAACAAAGTAAGAGTGAAAACTGATATTGCTATGATGCAATGGATTAGGAATGAGAAAATAGTAGTAGAAAATTACAAGATGATATATTTATATGATCGAGTAATAATAAACATTGTAAGTATAACACTCAAGATGAATATGTTAATCCAACTGGAAAGGCATATAATAATGAAAATTATTTTTTTTTACATATATAAAGACAATTATTTACCAGATTGAATTTCTTTTTTAATATATCATTTGCAACTTTCATGACATACACAACTTTTAAGTCTGTTAACAACTCATATTGTTTAGCAATTAAAATTCAAAGTTGTTGGTTTTATCTTAGTCATTATTATTATCTTCATTTTTTATCTGAATTTTTTAACTAAAATTGTTTTAGAACAGTTACTATAAAATAGTAGCTATGTTTGATTCCTTTTCCACAAGAAATATCTTTCACTTACTTTGCTCACTTGTTTTAGATCTTCCACACAATTCCAAAACCTGTAAAATAAAAAAAGGTAACTAAATTAATACTGATAGTTATTCAATTATAAATGAAACAATTTTATTTCTATTCAGAAACTATAGAAACTTATTTTTATTTCATATTTTGATAATTTGAGAATTAAAATTTCTTAGACTCACTCAAGCAATGAATGGTTATTATTTCGTTTCAAAAACTTCAAAAAGAATAGTTTAGCAGCTGGCACATCCATAATGGCTTTGAAAGATAATACCTGTTGTGAAAAGCAAATGTATTATTATTTTTTTTAAGTTTATCTGATTATGAGACAAATGTTAAACTATATAAATGCAAAATTTGAAAATGAATGTCAAGGAAAAGAAAAATTTTAAAACCTGATAAGTATCAAAACAGATGAACACCAATGCACAAAATGATTGTTTAAATAAAATATGAGTGAAAGAAAAGTTAATGACAAAAATAAATGCTCAAGAAAGTAGAACTTGTGATGAATATGAAAATTAAATAATACTACAAGAATAATACCAAAATATAAAACAAACACTTGAAAAATTAAAACTGAAGTATTTTAATGAAATTAAGTAAAATATTTTTAAAACTGCTCATTAGAACATGAAATTCAAAGATATAAAAAACAAAAGTTACTAATACATATTTAGATTATTTAAAAAAAAAACATATTTTATCATTCATTTTTGCTATTTATCTTTTTGGTTTGCATTCATTTAATAATTAAGCTTCTCTTACATTACTTTGATTACACCTAAAAGGGCATGTATTTTAAAATAATGAGCCCATAGTTTTGCTTGTTCCAAAATTAATAGATTTCTCAAAGTTCTAAATGTTGAATACAAGAAATAAAAGACTAACACAAATTATTCTCTAATGACCAAGCTATAGCCAAAGAAAAAAAAATCAAATTTGATATAAATAATTATATTTACAAGTTTGTTAGTATTGCCAAATAACCAAAGGTCAATCAAAATATAGTAGCATATTTAACTTGGAGAAGCCTTTCTTATTTAACATGATCAATAAAAAAGAAAATTAACAATACATTGATAATGCATACAAGAATCTACCTTCTGTCCTGGATGCGAAGACTTAGTTTCTTCTTTTGCTTGTTCTTCTGAATAATATTTATAATCAGGCCCTCCAAGTGCATGGATCCGTTTCTCACAAGTGGACTTGGCAACAGTCAGCTGAAAGAAAGAAAATTAAACTATTATCCATATAGATAAAAAAAAATTCTCTCATTCTCTTTTTTCTTTATTTAACTCTTTCTTTCTTTCTTGTTTGTTCTGATATTGGCAATTGAGATCAAGCCAAGTATTTTTCAACAACCATATATAAGATTGTATTTAGCAAAAAAATAAAAATATCAGATCAGTGTATTTCTAGAGGGTAATGCTTTTAACACAAACAGTTTTGTAGGTAAAGTGCTCAATGCAAAAGAGATGAAGCATTAATAGTAAACAAAATATCCAAATAAATTTGAACATTTTTGTTTATATATATATATATATATATATATATATATATATATATATGTAAAACAAACCCACCAACACACATTTTGCATGTTTCCAAAATATGAGGAGGTGCAGAAAGGAGGTTTTTCAGCGAACTGACCACAATACCAAACATTATATTTTTTTTAAATTCATCCTTTTTTGCATGTGTGTAACACTTTTCATAGAAAGCACAGATACTACACTGATCCTAAGAAGAGCATACATACTCTCATCCAAGAATGGAGTGTTAATCCATATGTAAATAATTCTAACATTTTAATGGGTATTAAGTTAGTATATGTTAAAATATGAGACTGTTCATATGTTTGTATATTTATTCTATTTTTTTAGAAGCTGGTTATTAGAACAGAGAAGAAAATTGGTGAATTGAATTTGAGTGAAATATCATGCATTCATTTTCATGGGTGCTTTTTAGAAAGACACAAATCCATCACACCCTACCTTCTTTCCCATCAGTGGCATGTCACAATGATTGAAAGACTGCAATCAGAGATTCTTCCCTGATACTGATAACATGTAATCCAGTACTTTGTAAAGTTTTGATGGGAACCACTTTGTGTGTGTGTGTGTGTGTGTGTGTGTAACAGGACACTGACTCTGCTTAAACATTGAATTGCAGGAAATTACTGGATGGTGATTTGGAGGGATTACTAATTGGATAATAATTATTAAAATTCTCAGGAGAGTAAGCTGAATGGTCGAGAAGAAAATTAAAAACAAAACACATTAAAAATTATGTTTTAAAATAAGAAAATGAATTTAAGAACAGTTCCAAGGAGAATCAAAACCAGAATTAGCTAGACAAGATTTAGTACAATTGAGAAAAATCAAGGTTGCCAACCCCATCCACTTCTCACTGATAAGAATACATGATTAATGACGTATTGTCTGAATTTCTTAGGTCCTGAGAAAGTAAAATTTGGGAGTTTGTTTATGCTATGTTATCTGTCCAGAATATCAAGGTTGAGATATGTTTATGTTGACCACCCAAGAATACAATTATCTTTACAGAAAGATACCTAGGAAGATTCTAACATAAACCTAAAGGTACCATATGGTTTTTTTTTTTAACAAGGTTTCCTAAGATTAAAATAGTTGGGTGGAGAAATTAGACATATCAATGTCAAATTTTGGAGGGGCAGTCATCTATATAAACAACAACCCCTAGGACGACAGACAGATGGGAAATCAGCCAACAAAGAGTCATGACAATTGGAGATCAGGCTCAACAAGAAGTCAGCTCAGAGTGGCCTTGTAAGACAGTTGTCGCTAAAGAGAATACTTGCAACTCCTGGGCTGGAGCAAAACCACAGGCACATACATGACAGAAGAATTGAGAAAGTGTTGACAGACTGGTTATTAATTTAGCATTTGCAATGTTTCCCAAATCATCATCCTGCTGTAGAGAATTGATTTGCAGTAGATAATAAGCGACATTTTATTCAACTAGTTTTTCTTTATATTCAATAAGCCTGTTGTTAGAGTTATCAACAATGTTGTGCATTTTTTTATTGAGGGAGTTTTTATTCCAGCCTGACTTTGGAGCTGTCCTGATTCAGACGTTGCGCTTGGGCACAAAAAGATAAGAGTTTACCATAGCCACAGGCAGGAATTATGCAACCTGGTCTGGGGAACATAATGTACATATAGGGCTTCACACTAGACTTCACTGTCATTTCCAATATAGTGGGGTTTTGAGAAACCCAAATCAATCCTATTGAGACAATACACCATCCTCAAGCAAGCTGTTTAAAGAAAGCTGGATGACCCGTAAGGTCAGTATTACTCAGCAGAGCTAGTGACTGAGGAACAGAGGAAGAAAAGGAGAAGACAGAGCTCAGAGCCAGGGGAGTGTGGTGCATGTTGAGAGGTCATATGTGTTGTTAGATGTCTCAACAATAAAAGATGTGTCAGAGGTGATGGTCATGTGTGTATGCATGTTTGTATGAGAAATAGAAAGAAATCTGAAGGTAATGAAATAACATTACTACAATACTATTCAACCAAAGGCCAGAATTCACCAAGTCAAAATTTTTGAATCTTTGCTTTTATCAAGGTCACAAGAATGCAATTAATGGCTAAAAAAAAAATAAATAATATAATAAAATAAAATAAAAAAAAATAGTTTAAACCTTATAAGTATATTAACTTCCTTAAATAGAACAGTTTTATAGAGGTCACATTATTTTAATACATTTTTTTTAATTTTCTGTTTTCATTAAATTTTTTATTTTCAAATATAGTTTTGACATACCTGATTTATGTAGGTCTTCAAATTTCTAGCCTTTAACAAGTCTCCTTTGGACATACTTTTCGGTGCACTAGCTTTATCTGAAAACAGAATATAATTGTTATATTTTTATCATAATTTTATTAATTTATTTTTAATTTTAAAATTTTATACAGGAGTTAGAAAAAATTATTTAGATGACTCAATAAAGTAGAGGCATTTTTAAACAAAAATGCATATTTCTCAACAATACAAAAACAATATCATTGTTGGTAATTTGTATTTCATGAACAAGAACTGTTAGATTTTTATCTTTTGTTATATAATCAAATATTAATTCATCCTCCATTAAATTTAATTTATCAAATGGATAGTTTGCCTTTGGGAAATTTAATTTCATATATAAATTCAAAAACTATTTACATTTAAGATTTACTGGATAGCTCTGAAGACAATGAATATTAAAAGATATGCAGAAGTTAAATTTGAGATAAATAATAATTTTAAGAAATACCCAAAAAATACTTTGATCTTACCTCTTAATAATAGCATAAACATTTAGACAATAAAAAATTATTTTCATCAAGTTTAAGGTTCTTTTTTATTCATACTATGCTCTTTTTTAGAGGTACCTATAATAACTCCTTTCACCTACTCCCTTCAAATTTAGAGGATTGAGGAAGAAGAAGCAATGGAATTTGCAAGTTTATGTGAAATTGTTTTTGGACCAATGAAAACCTTGCCTTCATAGAAATTAGCCAGTCAACCAAGAAGAAAACAAAGTAGCAAGTCTATGTAAAAATGAGGAAAAAAATTAAATTAATCAGAAAAGAGTGTCTAAAGTCATGTGAAAAGTAAATTTCAGCATGTAAATTCATGAAGAAAATTCATTAGCTTATTTTGTTAAAATTACCTGTGTGTTTCCTCGTCATTATCATCCTTTTTAATCTTTTTGGTGTGGGTAAATCAACTGTTCATTTTAACTCTAAACATCCACGTCACTATAAACTGGTGACACTTGATGTGTGAGGAAACACATAACTATTCTAACTGCATACAAGTGAAAATGTCTGACAATGAATAGAAGATCAATCAAGCATCTACTAACAATGAATTGTAAAAATAACAAGTTGATTGACACAATTACCAATAGGCAAAGTGATGCCAAGCTGTCAACTTGTGTTTTATATGTTTCAATCCATGAGGATGAAAATGTAAAGGGAACCTTACAAAAAATTATGGAAAGCTACCCTAATCTGTAATCCCCCTCCTCATCAGGAACTTAACAGAAACAAATCAAAAGTATTTCATAGAACTGAAACAGGGAGCAATCCTCCTGTATTTATGAAAGTATGACAGCTATGAAGCAGAATTTTGATATAGCCAAGGAAGAGTTTAAAAAGCACTAACAAGCTGGTATAATTTCCAAGTCAGAGTGAAGTGGAGCACTCCACATGGTGCTGAAATCAGAGGGCATGTACAGGCTATGGTTTGACAAGAAACAGTTAAATAGCATTACAAAGCCAGACCCAATACCCAATATCAACTCACTAGCAAAAAAATTGCATTGCAAAAAATCTTCTCAAAAATTGATCTGTACTCAACATATCACCAGATACAAGTTCATCCTGATGATGTATGCAAAACTATTTTGACAGAACAGGGTTTATTTGAATATAGCTTTGGGGCTGAAGAATGTCGCAAGTACCTTCCAAAGGATGATTGATGACATTTTCTGGGACATTTGTGTACATTGATGATATTCTAATATACTCCGATGATAAGGATTCTCATTCTAAACATCTGGACAAATTTTTCAGAAGCTAAGTGAATACAGTCTTAAAATTTCAATTTCAAATTGTATTTTTGTTGCTACAGAATTTGACTTCTTTGGATTTACTAAGTTGAAGGAAGGATTTAAAACCAGTGCTAATAAGTTTTAAACCTGAATAATTTTCCTCCTCTTAATATTTTACGGAAAGTTAATACCAAGTTTAAGTGACTTAATTTAATGTATCCATTAGAATCCTAATGCAAAACAACTGACTTTAACCATGGAAGAATTAGTTTTTTCCAAGCTGTGAAAAAGTGTAACAGCATTAGCCTTCCTCGATTCAAATGTTAAAAATTATCAACTTGTTATAGATAGTTCAAATTATGTAACAGGTGCTGCTTTACATCAAATTAGGTACCTCCACTGTTTTGGCACAAATTTTCGATACTTAAAGTTTAAAAATGAATTTTTGAAAATGAAAAAACATTCTTGAAGATTTCATTTTAGCTTTAATTGAAAGCTAAATGATTAAATTTATTATTTCCAGTAAGTAAAATATTCTGGTGTATTTTAGATAGAAATTATATAGATTGGAATGTCAAATTTAATTTCGATTTCTTAAAATTTTCTTAAAAGTGGCCACTTTCTTAATTTTAAGAAAGTTGTAAACAAAACAAATTTATCAATTTAAAATTTCTTCCAAAAAAAAAAATATTTGAGTTATTATCTGAGTAAAATAAGAAAATTTAAAGTTAATTTAATCTGATTTGAAATAAATATTACTTATAGCATAAAAAAGTAATATACAAACATTTAATCATTGGTCCTGCTTATCTTAGCTTATCTGAGGCAATAATGGATGGCCGATTGAGTGATGAAGCAATGACAGCTAGTATGGCTGGCTAGAATTGATATAAAATTTACAAAATCTATGTGGACACATTTTTTTTTTGTTTTTAACCACCTAGTAATTTTTACAAATGAACATATTTTCTGCAATTATCTAATAATTTATTGACTTTTATTTACCTTTCAAAGATGCTTTATGCAAAGATAAAAAAATTTCAAATATAAAATTTTCTTAAATTAATTTCTCTGTAAAGAGACAAAACTCTTAGATCATGTGACTGTTTCATAATAATATCACATTTAGACATTCATAGATGAAAATAGAGAACAACTTAAATAAAAAAAATAAGAAATAAAAAAATTATTTTAAAAATAGAATTGTGTAACTACATTTATTAATCTTTTCAATTTTGGATTTGTAAATTTCGTTTCCACTTAATTGTTATATCACATCCAGGAAATAGCACAATACAGAATTTTACATGATTTTAAACTATTATAAATTATTATAATTAAAATTTTTAAAAAACTTAAAAAATTCATTATTGATCAGAAAAATTTTATTTCTTCAGACAATAATGTCCTTAATATAACATATTTACAAAAGCAATTAAAAGCTTTTCTAATTAAATAATGTCATAGTGTGGCACCTTGCATTATTAGAAATATTCATAGAAATATGATTTAATTTTTTCTTACTCGGTTTACTAAACAGGTTGTTGATTTTTTTTAAAACGGAAAATAATCGAGTTGAAAATAATTCACTAAGATTGTACCTGGACGATCCTAAAGGAAGAAGAAGGAAGGGGAAAGAGAGAGGTCGAAAAAACAAAAAAAAAAAATTAACAAAAAAAACACAAGTCAGAAAGATATCTTAGCTTTTTTATGTTGACCGAATTTTTTAAAGACAATTGGAAGAATAGAATTAGAAATAATAAATTTTCAAAGAAAGGGAAAAAGACATGATATCAAAACGGGCCGCTTGATGGAAGCCAGATATCGGTCAAAGCACCTAGCCTACTTTTTGCATGGAAAGACACCTTATCAATTTGGATAAAGAGAAATTTTTTTAAAACAATGAAACAATCTTAATCAGAGAAAAAGTGTCTTTTGGGTTGAGGGGAGTGACCGGTGGAACGGTATACAGGCTCTGACCTGTTAAAAATTAGAACCCCACAATAATAAAGTGGAGACATTTTCAATGTAGATAATTAAGATTTTTTGACTATCAGGAAAAAAACAAGAGGTAAAAAAGAGGGACAATTGCTTTTGGCTCACAGAGGGCGCCAAGAAGGCGGAAAAAAGATCCTTTCTGAAGTCAAGTCTAATTAGCGGCGGGCTGTTTGACAAAGTCCAGGTGAGAGAAGGCCAAGATGGTCATTTTTCGTACGTGCGAAAAAAAAAAAAAAAAATTAGATTTTGTTTTTTTTAGAACAAGAACGATATAAGCCACGCCCATTGATTGCAGGAAACGCCCAATCAGGATCTCATTAGTCGAAAAACGGTCACGTGGCTGCAGAAAAGAAAAAAAAAGAAATGCTCAACCAGAATCCCATTAGCCGAAAAAAGTCACGTGGCTGCGGAAAAGAAAAGAAAGAAATGCTCGATCAGAATCTCATTGGTCGAAAAGCGGTCACCTGACATACGAGAGACCGAGAGAGATGGATATGCGCCTCCCCACCAAAAGCACTATGAGAAAAGTAGGGGCGAAAACAATAGCGATAATGGGGAAACAGAATTAATGCAGCTATTGGAATTATCGAGAAAACCCTGATGCCGACAGACCCACCCCAGTTTGTTGCGGCGTCAATAAAAACAAGGACCCCAGTCGACAGAAATCAGTTGAGTTGGAGTTGAGAGCTGCAGCTGGACCGCGGGCAGGGATAGAGCCTGAACGCGGCCATCAGGCCCGATTCAATTTACTTTGCGGGCAAAAAGAATCCTCAGACAAAGTATTGATAATCCTTCCAGCCCAAGTCGAAGACAGAAGAGTTCAGCCCAAGTAGACGAAGAGAAGAGATCACCTCCAAGGACGCAGAGAGTTGAGTTCAAGAGTTGCGGCAAGAGTTCCCTTCCGGAAAGCCCAAGTCGAAGACAAGAGAACTTCCAGCCTAAGTCGACGAAGAAGAAGAAATACAACCCAAGTCGAAGACAAGAGAACTTCCAGCCTAAGTCGACGAAGAAGAAGAAAAATACAACCTCAAGTCGGAGAGAAGAATCAACTGCGAATGATCGATAGAAATTAGCCCCAGTGTCGAACCAAACCACACTCCGACATACACAATTCTAAAGAGTAGGCAATTCGAAATCTTTTATTGTGTGATAGAAGCTTGGTGCCATAGTCCACAGAGCGGGTCGGGAAATGAGAACAATTTTGTTTTTATGTAACGGACATTAAGATATAAAGGGTTGTTACCCATTTTTTTTCATCAGCAATTTTTTTTCTTCGTGAGTTTATTTTTTTTTATTTGTGTTTTG